GAAGCCTTTAAAATATATTAAATTTGTTGCTGTAAATTCTTATGGCTTACAATTCAGAATCTCTACATCCAATTTTTTAAAAAATTTTTCTGGTAATCATACTAAACTTTTAAATTTCTTGTTTATTATTTTTTTTTTTTTTTTTTTTTTTTTTGGTATGTACCATTTTAGTTTTTATTAATAAAATAGAAACCTAAACTCAGAGAACTGCTTTATTCTTGCATCTAATCTGACCATATATTGGAGTAGCAATTCTTTATAAAAGGACTTAGGTGAGAACTGTCAATATATCAGTTCCATCAAAAACTCTAGGTTGGAATATCTTAAAAAGAGCAAATTAAATATGAGAAAGCACAGAAATCTCCCCCTCAAACAAGAGGGGCTTCCTTTAATAGTCTTTAATGTAGCTCATTTGCAATTGTATGAAAATCCATCAAGATCAATCATGTTGCACAATCCCTAAAGGATAAAACTGAGGGAACTCATGGATAATTTTCACAGCTTCATTGTAAAGTCCAAGATCAAAAGGATGGTTATTTTCTTTAAACTGGACATAAGATGTACACAAGATGGTGGCCTTGGTGGTTACTTTTCCAACCACTTCCATAATTCCAGAGATTTCTTCATCAAGGGGTTCCATCAACTCGATGGTTCCATTTTTTCCTTCTCCATCTGAAAGAATAAACATTTTTCCAGTGGGATGAATCTTTTCCAGCCTCTCTACGAAGCAGACAGGCTTGTCTATGAACTGAGCTAGCATGCTGGCGTTGATGCGCGACCTCGGCAACTCCATCATGTCCACCATGATTATGGCCCAAGAGTGCGGCTCGCGGGAAACCCACAGACTACTGAAACTGTGTGCCCCGCGGTGTCTGTGGGGCAGATTTCTTCTTTCTCTTTTATAAAGTATTCGTTATGTTAGCTGGTCAGTGATTATAGGAATTGTTTTTATGAGATTTAGTAGTGCACACAAAGTAATTTTCAAAGGTAATTCCATTAGTGTATTAAGTTTTAGTGTTAGAACATTCTATTTTGTTCTTTTAAGTGCAGAAACTTACATAGGCCTACTTTTATTTTTATTTTTTATTTTTTGAGATGGAGTTTCACTGTTATCACCCAGGCTGAAGTTCAGTGGTGCAATCTTGGCTCATTGCAGCCTCCACCTCTCAGGTTCAAGTGATTCTTCTCCCTCAGCCTCCCGAGTAGCTGGGATTAAAGGCATCTGCCACCACGCCTGGCTAATTTTTGTATTTTTAGTAGAAATAGGGTTTCATTGTGTTGGCCAGGCTGGTCTCGAACTGCTGACCTCAAATGATATGCCCACCTTGGCCTCCCAAAGTGCTGGGATTACAGGCATGAGTCACCGCACCCAGCTGAGCCTATCTTTATGTAGTTATTTTTTTTAAAAAAATTTTATTATTGACATAAATTTTATTTATTGAGTCAATTTGTTTCAGTAAGTACTAGGGAAGCTTCGTAACTTTTGAGGATGTTTTTATATGTAAAATATATCAACAAACATGACAGTGCTTACTATGTAACAGATGCTCCATAATAAGGCAGAAATATTCGTGCTAAACTTACACATCTAGATGTGTATAAACATGACAGTGCTTACTATGTAACAGATGCTCCATAATAAGGCAGAAATATTCGTGCTAAACTTACTTTGTAACTTTGATTCAGAAATGAAATATACCACTGGGCCAGGTACACTGACTCACGCCTATAATCCCAGCACTTTGGAAGGCAGAGTTGGGCAGATCATAAGGTCAGGTGATGAGACCATCATGGCTAACACAGTGAAACCCTGTCTCCACTGAAAATACAAAAAATTAGCCAGCCATGGTAGTAGACGCCTGTAGTTGCAGCTACTCAGGTTGCTGAGGCAGGTGAATGGTGTGAATCTGGGAGGTGGAGCTTGCAGTGAGCCAAGATTTCACCGCTGCACTCCAGCCTGGGCAACAGAGCTGGACTCTGTCTCAAAAAAAAAAGAAAAAAAAAATACCGGCTGGGCGTGGTGGCTCGTGCCTGTAATGTCAACACTTTGGGAGGCCGAGGTGGGTAGGTCACCTGAAGTCAGGAGTTCAAGACCAGCCTGGCTAACATGGTGAAACTCCATCTCTACCAAAATACAAAACTTAGATAGGCATGATGGCAGGTGCCTGTAACACCACCTCCTTGGAAGGTTGAGACATGAGAATTGCTTGAATGTGGGAGGCAGAGGTTGCAGTGAGCCGAGATCATGCCATTGCACTCCAGCCTGGGTAACAAACTTTTTTCTCAAAAAAATAAAATATCAATGCTGAGGATACAACATAGATTTTTTTTTTTCATGTAGAGAGGACACTTTTTTTTTCAGGCTGCAAAGCTGAATCTTGCTGAATTTAAAGAGAGATTCTGCTGCTTTAATTTCCTAATTATCTTGATTTTTTTTTTAACTTTTTATGTGTATTCTAACTATGTGTCACAGCCCTTTTTCTTCTTGCTCTATTATGGCTACAGGTTTCTCACTTATCTCCATGCCATGTCATTTCACATGGTACTTTGTAGGTTCTGATGAGAAAGTTGGTACTTTTTAATGCATTGAAAAATTGGTTTTAACTAGAGTTTGCTTATTAACATAACTTTCAGATTAGTTAGTTAAAAGACATAACACTTTCCACAAGAATATATCAGCATAGAATTTATATCAGTGAGAAGAATATATCAGTTAGCATGGTTTTGTTTATAAAAGGAAAACCTTGTTAGATTCTCACACAAAGTGGAAAATATAGTTTGCTAAAATAGATGTCTTAGAAATTTAATTTTTAAGAGTTGATTGTAAGTGAACAATTTCAAATTTAATTTTTATAATGTACTTATAGCATGAGTTACGTTTTCTATACAGTGTCTTCAATTTTTAAGTGTGAATTTTGAAGTTGGCAAAATAATAAAGTGATCTCTGGATTTGACATTTGATATAATTTTTTTTCATGTTGATACTACAATTTGGAGGAACTTCTCACTTTTTTCTAGTCTACAGTTTTTACTCTTTGTCACCTAACTGTAGTCAACTCCCTGGTCCTTTTCTCTGGAAAACTTTTGGAGAACATGGCTGCTTTTGGATTAAAATATTTCCCATTATTTTGCATAAAAACTAGTTTACTGTGTTCACGGAGTGGCCAGTCATGGGACCGTAAGCAACAGCTGCACCTTTTAGTGTTTTTCTTATTATTATCATCAACAACAGAAACTCTATGCTTGAAATAAAAGCCCTAACGTACATTGCCTCTTCCCATACACTCTGCTGGGTCCAGAAAATGCTGTTAAATATTAGAGTTTCTAAGCTGGGCATGGTGGCTCACGCCTGTAATCCCAGCACTTTGGAAGGCTGAAGTGGGTGGATCACCTGAGGTCAGGAGTTTGAGACCAGCCTGGTTAACATGGTGAAACCCCGTCTTTACCAAAAATAGAAAAATTAACTGGGCATGGTGGTGGGTGCCTGTAGTCACAGCTACTCGGAAGGCTGAGGCAGGAGAATCCCTTGAATCCAGGAGGCAAAGGTTGCATTGATCCAAGATTGTGCCATTGTACTCCACGCTATCTTAAATAAGTAAATAAAATAAATATCAGAGTTCCTATGGTCATGGCTGACAAACTAAATGACAAAAACTTTTTGATGGTATTCAGCTGTTTAAGACAAAGACACAGTACTTGAAACATTGTTATATATATATACGTGTGTGTGTGTGTGTGTGTATATATATATATATAAAATTTTTAGACAAGGGTCTTGCTGTGTTACCCTGCTGAAGTGCAGTGGCATGGTCTCAGCTCACTAAAACTTCCACATTTCAGGGTCAAGCAATTCTCATGTCTCAAATAGCTGGGATTACAGGTTGGTGGCACCATGCCTGGCTACTTTTTCTATTTTTCATGGAGATGGGGTTTCTTCATGTTGGCCAGGCTGGTCTTGACCTCAAGCGATTCACCCACCTTGGCCTCCCAAATTGCTGGAATTACATGTGTGAGCCAGTGCCTCCATTTAATTATATGTGTGTATGTGTGTGTGTGTATATATATATAAATTTCTTTTTTCCAAAATGGTCTCACTCTGTCCTCCAAGCTGAAGTGCAGTGCAGCCTCCACCTACTGGGTTTAAGTGATTCTCCTGCCTCACTCTTCTGAGTAGCTAGGACTACAGGCCACCACTCCTGGCTAATTTTTGTATTTTTGGTAGAGACATGGTTTCACCCTGTTAGCCAGGCTGCTCTTGAACTCCTGACCTCAGGTGATCCACCCACCTTGGCCTCTCAAAGCACTGATTACAGGTATGAGTCACCATGCCAAGCTAAAAATACACTTATCAAGTTGACAGATAAAATGTGTATTCTGCAAAACAATATTTTTAGGTATTTATACATCGTCACATGCTTAATTCTAGGTAATTAATGCTTTACCTCATGTAGTTAACATTTTTGTTGTGAGATCACGTGGCATTGTCTTAACATTTTTGAAAACCAGAAATACATTAGAATGAACTATAGTCATTGTGCTGTACAATAAATATTTTGGACTTATTCCTCTTATTCAAGTATAATTATATATTCTTTTCTTTCTAACTGCCCATTCTAAACAACTTGGCATCTGGTATTCACCATTTTATTCTCTACAGCAATGAGATTTTTCTTTAGAATTCTTGTGTAAGTGAGACCGGGCCTGGTGGCTTACGCTTGTAATCCCAGCACGCTGGGAAGCCAAGGCAGGTGAATCACTTGAGGACAGGAGTTCGACACCAGCCTGACCAATATGGTGAAACCCTGTCTCTGCTGAAAATACAAAAAAAATTAGCCAGGCATGGTGGCGGGCACCTGTAATCTCAGCTACTTGGGAGGCTGAGGCAGGAGAATTGCTTGAACCCAGTGAAGGTTGCAGTGAGCTGAGATCACACCATTGCAATCCAGCCTGGGAAACTTGCAAAACTGTCTTTAAAAAAAAAAAATAGTGTAAGTGATATCATAAGATAGTATTCATTCTGTGTCTGGCTTATTTAAAGTAATATAATGTTCTCCAGGTTAATCCATGTTACTGAAAGTAATAGAATTTTCTTTTTTAAAAGATGAATAGTATTCAATTTTGTGTGTATACCGCATTTTATTTACTCATTAGATGTCAAACTGTTGACTCTGTATTTTGGCTATTGTGAGGAGTGCTGCAAACAACATAGAAGTGCAAATGTTTCTTTTCTTTTTTAGACAGGGTCTTGTTCTGTCGCCCAGGCTGGAGGCAGAGGCCTGATCTCGGCTCACTGCCACCTCCGTCTCCCAGGTTCAAGTGATTCTCCTGCCTCAGGCTCCCAAGTAGCTGGGATTACAGGCACGCACCACTGTGCCTGGCTAATTTTTGTATTTTTAGTAGAGACGAGGTTTCATCATGTTGATCAGGCTGGTCTTGAACTCCTGACCTTGTGATCCACCAGCCTCAGCCTCCCGAAGTGCTGGGATTACAGGCGTGAGCCACCGTGCCCGGCCAAATGTTTCTTCATCCTTATTTTATTTGTTGTGGATATATATCCAGTATTGAAATTATTGTATTATATAATAATTTTGATCTTATGTTTTTTTGTGAAATCTCTTTCGTTTTTCATAATTACCGTCCTCATTTACATTAAAACCAACAGTGTGCAGGCATTCCCTTCATCTCTATGCCAACACTTTTTTAAAATTTTTTTAATTTTTATTTTTTTGAGACATCGAGTCTTGCTCTTGTTGCCCAGACTGGAGTGCAATGGCACGATCTCAGCTCACCACAACCTCTGCCTTCCAGGTTCAAGCGATTCTCTTGCCTCAGCCTCCCGAGTGACTGGGATTACAAGCATGTGCTACCGCACCTGGCTAATTT